TTAGTATAACTTGAAGAAATTATTAGATGACACATTTCCTATGTTTGTTACTGACATGAAGCAAACGGGTACTAGATAGTGCTATTTGGCTCAGTTTATTCAAAATACATCAACATGGGTAAAAAAGAGGAACGACCGGCTAACACTTAATTATTATATAATTTTTGACAGGTGAAATTTTTTTTTTTTTTTTTAAAAAAAAAAAAGTCTCTAAAATATAAGCCTCTAAAGTCTCTAAAGTATCTTTAATTTATTAAAAATTACGTAATGATTTTACGTTTTTAATAAACAATAATTTATTATAAAGCAATAGTTTTTCAAAAACATTTGTGAAGTGTTGTTATTCCTAATTTTTGAAGGAGGAAAAACGTATTTTAACATGGTTCTCTAGAACTATGATCGCCCAACTGGTTTTTTTTAAAAAAAAAATGCGTGGAAAAATGTATATTTTAAAGATATAAAATTTAGTGTTTATGGAGCAAATTTATCTAATCGTATGTTATTAAAGATAAAGTTTGTGTAACAATAGATCTTGACCTCCGAGTAAAAAAAGTCCTCGCCTGGAAATCGAAGATTTTTTGGTTGGAGTTGACAACCCGGTTGCGTTGTCGGGCGCCAAGTGAAAGAGAGAGTGATCGAACGAAAGCTAGTCGCAAATACGAGCAGGTTGGCTAGGACTAGACGCGATCCTGAACCAGAAAAAAGGGAAACAGCGTAATGGCCAAACGACCGGCGACAATAACATTTCCTCCGTTGCCGTTACCGAAAAGAGCTATAAAGTTGTATATCGACGGTGAAACGACCAGTGTTGACGTCTGTTGTTTGCGGCGTTTAAAAATCTCCGCTCCCATTTCATCCTTTGGAAGGAGCACAAATCAATATCACGAGTAGACCATTAGTAACTATTTGAATAAAGTTTTTAATTGGATTGCATTTTGCAAAAAGGAACCACTAGCATTGCAATGATGCTAAGATTGTGCATCTTCATCCTTTGCAATATAATTGCGGAAATTGTGAAAAACTATGACATTTAGATGGTTATTTTTGTCTTAAATTTACAGTTTTTAGCGAGTAAAATAGAAACTATTAAGGGATAACCGGGCTTTTCATCCAAGACAAAAGAAGTTGCACAATCTTAGCAACATTGCAATTCTAGTGGTTCCTTTTTGCAAAATGCAATCCAATTGTAGAAAGTAGTGTTTTTAATTTGAAGAATTTTTTTTGCAACATGTTTTTTTTTTTTATTTTAAGAACAGGAAAACACATTTTTTAGTGGAAGCATTCTGTCTCGGGTGTACAAGTTTCGACAGGTGTATGTTTGAGTGTGTCCTCCCCTCCTTCATCATTTTCCCCCGAATTCAACTTTCTTGTAGAAAATAAAAGTATGTATATATAAGTAGGCAGCAGCAACTAATCATTGATTCGAGCATCAATTCTAAAGGTTTAATTTTTATTCGGAAGGATAAAAATCGCAGAATATAATCTCCTAACTCCAGTAGAGTTTTTTTTAATATTATCGCTCCAAAAATTGTATAACTTCACAATTTTATCTTCTCTTGAGCAGCATACGCACCTTAATGAAATAGCACGAGGCGATGCTGTTTATTTCTCCAATCGAAGAAAGTCCTTAAAATTGAACCGATAATTCTGGGATGAAAATACGACGCATCGCTGATAATCTCACCCGAATTGCGTTTCAAACTGGGGAGGGATTGCCAGTGAACATTTTCAGACCGGATGTTTTTACTTTAAATAAAAACATCCAAACTACAGAGTGTGGATTTGTAATGTTTACCCAAGAGAGTGGCTGCATGATACCTCACCGTTGCACAGTAGAAAAAGGCATGGGAGAGGCTGAACAAGGTGACTAAAACTTCAAATCGTGAAGTGAATTCCGATTTGTCATTTTTGAGGAAAGCCTCGACGAAAAACCAATAGAACCATTCTTACACTTTTAAGTTTTATACATAAACAAAGATAAAAACTTAAGTTGTTTTGCTTCATTTTGGGCCTCGCCTTTTGACTGGCTTCACTATGCACTAGCACTGTGCGCCGCGTGGCCAAGCCGCGCCGGCTGCGCATTTTTTCGTAGTCGGTTATTTCCAAACAAGATTTGGACGCATTTCTGTCAAACGGAACTATGTGCATTAAGACATGAGCCCCGAGACCCATAATAATCTATGTACAACAGAGCTCACGTCATAATGCACATAGTTCCGTTTGACAGAAATACGTCCATTTGATAACGCACAGAGCTTTAGGCTAGAATCGGTCTTAATGGCATGGCTCATGGCAGTTCGGTTGTATGGAAGTGACTCACGTAGTCACGTCCCGCGATGAGCAAAAATCTCGTGCGTAGTTAGAAGAGTTATCGCTTGATTAGCACGATCACTCACTCTCATGCGTTAATGTGTCTAGTTCTTGAGTTCAGTGAACGTCTTATCAAAGTTGCCAAGAAAGCTTGCTCAAGGACCAACACCCCGAGTTTAAGGTCATGAGCAACGAATACACTCACCATTGTGCCAATTTCCCTCCAGGCGGTGCCACCCCTTCGTTCTTAAGGGTTCCAGGGAAACACATAAAAAGTGTTAGGGGCGGGCTGTCCCTTAAAATTGTGGTACTATTCCAATCGGTTGGATGATATAGACATTTCAAATTGATTTTGGCAGTACCGCAACATTTGGGTTCGTGACCTAATTTATTGTGGTGCTATCACAATTAATTGGAAATGTCCGTATCATTTGACAACCCCATGCTCTTCTTTTTCCGTGCGATTCTATGTGTTTATGGTCACGTTTAAATGGAAGAATTTGAGTGAAACCCCAGTTCTTACGTAAAATTTTGGAATTTCAGCCTTTCGAGGAAGCTACTACAAGATATTCTCAGCAATACATCTAGTAGAAGGGAACCTAACCAGAGTTTCAAAAAATTAAGGGAATTTTTAATTATACACTTGAAAACAATGTCATTTCTGATAAGCCCACAGAAACATTTTAAACTTCATGTCTCTCAAGCGACCCTTTGCATTCTCCGAACTTCAAACCTTGTTTTTCAAAACTTTTAGTCAACGTGTGGCATTGATCCCTCCTGAAAATGCTGTCAAAATGTCTTTGAATGTAAACAGCTCCCCATCACAAGCCCAACAGTATTAACCGTCAAGTGCTTAACGTATTTTCCTTTTTCGCATCCTCTATGTTTAACCTTAAGATTAATTCTTGAGATTCATTCTACTGCAATATTTTTAGCTTTCATAACAGACAGTTCTCTCTTCGTTTCCAGACACTTCAGCCTATATAAACCTATTCAAAAAGTGGCGAAGCGTGATAGATCGATTATCGATATTTTCCCATTTGAAGCTATGGTGAAGAATCGATTATTAAGGTGTTCCTTGTAAACACCCCGTTTATCGATCCTCTCCATAGCTTCAAATGGTAGATTAATTGATATATTGCAAAGCACGTCATGCCACTGTATCCCAACTGCGCGCGCATTATTTGTTGGAGACTTTAACGCAAAGTAAAGAAAGACGTCGATACCACAGCCTGCGTTTCATGGGGGTTGCAACCAAAAATTTCAACGCGATGACGCTGTGCTTATGTTATCAGTAAAGCTGTGTGTCAGTGAAATAATTGTTTCAGAAAAAAATTCATAATAATGGCTGGTAAAATTGCTGCCCGCGCTTATTTCGTCATAAATTTGATTCTCGGATCATATTCTCTTTAAAAATCACAAAAATCACACTCTCTTTAAAAATTAAAACATCTGTCAAATTTTCAGATATCAGAATGGATATTGCATCTTTCGATTCTCGGCGTTTCACCACTTACATTTGGACTACATTCTCTAACTAGGAACTGCAATTTCAGCCGATCCGTAAAAATACCCACGAGAAACTATTTGTTGATACGTCGTTTCTACACTGAACCAGACACTGAAGTTCCAAAATGCAAAATGCAGTCCATTTTCTCAAAACTTCATTTGGACAGCAGTTGAACCGAGTTCATGAGAAAGGAAGCAATCCACATTAAATTGAAACTGAGAAAAAGAGGTTCGAAGTTTTATTCCTGCAAAACCAACCTCAATGTAGAAAATGAACTTAAGCCCCCTCTTTTCATAAACTAATTTCTGTTTTTCGATTTTCAGATTTTGCCAGGAGAAAATAAACACCTAGTGGAACTCAAAAACATTCCTAACTCAATTTCTTCGAAAATGTGAGTTGGCTTCTTTCGCATAAACTCGGTCCAGTTTGCAACACGGAACTACAATTTATGGCTCAGTTTAAAAAGAACGGATGTGCCATTAGTTTCCTTGTAAACATAAATGTTTTAACGAATAATCCAAAAATTGTTGTTCCTAACTGCGAAGTAAAATCCATTTCAGCAATCTCTACACGAAGAAAAATCTATGACCTTATAAACCAATTAGTGATTCAATTGGAACACCACTAATAGTAGTGAAGGCAACATATAATAATAGTACATATACCTCAGTTATGGTAAATGTACACTACTATGGTACGAGCTACCACCGTGTGGTTCACAGACCGATAATAATCATTAGCTCATATACAACTATTAATAGTGTTCCATGTGAACCACTCATCTGCCACTTCTGCAATTCATCACCTCTAACTATCAAACACATACTTATGGACTGCTCTTCCCTCCGATATCTCCAATCACAGATCTACCCCCCTACAATCAACAGAAATACAAACCCTCTTACATGCGATGAACCCAATATTACCACCAAAATTCTAAAACTCTTCACCTCTCTTAATTTAAAAATCTAAATTTTCGTTTATACTCCCTTTTTCAAAATTATCTGTAAAGAAGTTAATAGCCTGAGACGCTGAATGTCTTAAAATTATAATAACTAACTAACTAACTAACTAACTAACTAACTAATTGGTTTATAGGCCATAGCTTTTTCTCGGTGTACTTATGTCGGTTCGATGGGAGCTTATTGTTAGTTAAAAGAGAAATAGAATGTCAACTAACTGAAAGCAGCGTCCTCGAAGTCGTAGGCTGCCACTGCGGCGATGATGGTCAACACGAAGACCGCGGCGACCACGCCGACGCACCTTGCTGTACTCGCACTCATTTCGATTAGAACACTGATCAAGCACAGGTACACGACAGACAACACTGATCGACCCGCGGCCTAGAACCGTTGTTTTATACGCGGCGCTCCAGCGGGGGCCCGACCCCCACCAGCCACCAGCGGCACCGCAGTCGCCGGTCGCGGCTCATCAGTTCCTCACAACGGTTTTCGACCGGTTGCCGGATGACACTCTTAAACAGTGCTGCCGTCTCCCGGAATTAATTCCGAAATTTGGAACTTTTCAAATAATCGGATTTTTTCCCGGAATCTTCTGAATCCCCGGAATTTTCAGCTTTTTTCGGAATTTCCTCGAAATTTGCGATTTCTCGCCAGTTTGACCATTTATTCTATCAAAATTGACCATCTTCGGTACTAAATCCGGGCGAATTTCGGAATTTTAGTATCATTTCTATCGAAACCGAAATATTTGTTACCACGACTGGAAAATTGTGACTCCGATTAGACAAGTAAGCTGGATCTAGAATCTAGGTACCATGAGAACTGTGAGAGATACGTGTGTGTTAGCGTATAATCCGATTGGTTGATGAATTTTTAATTTTCTCTAGAGAAAAGCATGAATTATTTTTGAGGCTCTCTTGCTTAAAAGAAAGTAAAAGAGGAAGCATGAAGAAGATCTACAGCGTTAATCGATTCATATCGTTCTCGTGTACCTGCGAAGGAAGTTGAGAATATGCTTCTAATCGAGAAATATAAGGCAGATAATGCTCCTGCAATACAACAAGTATACTTTAAGCTTTGCTCCCGTACAACCAGGAATCATGACGCCCGGCCCGATCAAGTCCCGCAAAGCCGATGATCGATTATCGATAATCCCCCATTTGAAGCTGTAGTAAAGAATCGATTATTAAGGTGTTCGCTGCGAAAACTCTGTTCCTTTTCACATGATCCTTTTCCACAGGTTTAAATGGCAGAGCAATCGATTTATCGCAAAGCACGCCACGCTATTGAGCCGAATGCCATAATTATTGCCGTATCACAGCAACGATTCCGCTCAATAATGGCAGGAGACAGTAGGAAGCACCAGAAAAGCTGGGAAGGGCCGCTCACACAAATCTGGTTGAACCAAACGAATGGTTTCTAAACAGTTGCAAACACAAGGAAAATAATTATCGATAATCATATACCTTACTTCTGTATTTTAATATCATATTTCGTAATCAACTTAACTTGCCAGGCAAAAAAAAAAAAAAAAAAAAAATACATATGAATGAAAAGGGCGCAGTAAACAAAAAAAACAAGCTCCACGGGTGTAAAGGTTGATTCAGGAAAAACTGTCTGGTGCAATAAAAAATAGGTGATCTCCTGAAGACTTGCAGGCTGCTCCGATGATGCCTCATGATCTTGCCGTCTTGCCATTTCCTTCGATCGGCATTTCAGAATCTTGCCATATATCTTGCTTTTAGGCTCACGCACCGAGAGTCCAATTTTAACTGCCAATTGTAGTTTCTGCATTCGTCTTCACTTGCCTTTTTTAAACTTTTCATAAATCTAGTTTTTCAGTAAATTCCTTCCGCTCCTCCGGTATTGTCATCTACGATTCATAGCTGCATCAACAGATTCCTTAGGCACTCCAGGTGCTGTTTGACACAAGCGAAGATGAGCAGACAGCAGAAAAAATAGCAGGAATCGAGGATACAGCACTGCCGTGATGAGGAGGAACGCCGTATGAATATTCGAGAGTTGTCAAATTTTTCTTAATAAAACATGTTGGTATTTTTGACAACATTCATGCATACTTTTTCTCGAAATTTTCCGGTATTTTAGATTAAATCGCGTACTAAATTGTCTGACAATTTTTGAAAATAATATTCGAAATTTTCTCAGTAAATTCGAATATTATCGGAGGAAACTTGGCAACGTCTGAAAGCTCATACGGCGTTCTATCTTAGCACGGTAGAGGAGAGGAAAAAGCCCCAAAGTTGATGCTTAGATAATGCAATTTTCATACGTGAAAATTGCATTGACCATTCACAGTAGACTGTAAGAAAGTCATGTAAGGTTTTAGAGTCCGGTTTCGAAGCTGGATCGGCCATTCAGTTGTACTTTGCACCCCTTTAAATGTAAAAGGTTGGCAACCCTTACATTACTGATCCCCGTATGTAAGCGGCCTTATAAATAGCTCGTTAAATTCCGTTCTCTCAAGCACGATCACCCCTGTAACGAACGCTCCCCCTCTCGCATATCCAAAACTTTTAAAGTTGCTTTCCTCGAAAATTCACGGAGGAAACTTTGTCATTATATCAAAGTTTGTGAATCGGCCGAGAGAGACTTGAAATGCTCAACTTGTTAGCCAAAACATTCTCACTTCCGTAAACTTCGTTCTTGAGTACAAACGTGAATGGCTATAGTACAAAATGTTATTTTTTCGTATGAAATTATAATTTGCAGCCGGATGGATCCACGTTCTTATTCTGCGCTTGCGGGTGGATTGTTGAAATTGATAGACAAAGCGATGGACAAAGAGGACATGGAGCGAATCTATTGGTTGAAATGGGTGGTTCCTATAGACTAAGAGGAAAAATAACGGAATGACTATTGGTCTCTCGTGGGTTGTCGTTAGTTATAGTATATTACCTATACCTTCTTTGTCCATCGCAACCACCCGCTTCACCAATAGGATTCCTCCATATACTTTTTGTCTTCTTTGTCTATCAATTTCAACAATCAGCCCGCTGGAGCGTCACGCTTTTGCCTCAATGGAGGAAAGATATGACAATTTTGTTTCGAAGGGTAATGATTCTCATTAAGTATTGGATGTAATCGAAATTATTTCTTTGCGGTTTTTACTCTTAAACCAATGACCTAATTAATTATTGCCCATTACAGAGTAAAAAATGGGAACCGAAATTTCATGTTAACATGGAACGTAGGATACATAGTAATATAAGCTTTCGGATAGTTTCTCTTGGTTGGTGGACAGGTTCAAACCCCGAAGAACGGATGCCAAGAATCAAACTCAAATCTATAAATTCAGAATGCATTGCGGCGGCCATACTCGCAAGTCGCAGCCTCTGAATAACCTGAGGTTTCAGCTCATTTAATCAAAAGTATCGGTTTGTTTAACCAAAAGTTTAGCTGATCAATAATATCATTTTACATGATCTTCCCGTGGGGGAGAAAAAAAATTAACTCAATGCCACTGAAAACGTGTAAATTGTTAACTGTGTATACAACGTCCTCTAAATTTACAATTGAAATGTTATCATTTCGTCAATTTTTACCACTAGAATTTTGTATTGGAGAATTTGCACACAAAAATTTTATTGCTTCATCTGAGAGTGCCTAATGAGCTGAGTTCGCAGTATTTTTCACATTTTTTCCTGATATGAGAAATTGGAGGAAAATATATGAAGATTGAAAAGTTAGGAAATGTGCCTTCTTATGACGTCATCATTTTTCAATTAAAATACATGGATTTTAGCAGATTAGGTTATTTTTTCCTATTTTCTCCAATAATTGTCCAAGGTTATAGGACATTCCGTCAACGATTTTTTGTCCGCGCACCTGTTTTTTCCAGTAATTTACATCCACACGTTTTTTCGGCACGGGAGTTTTGGTCCACGTGCCAGTTGAGACCTAAAGTTACTTCGCCCACATGTAAATACAAACGACAATTGCTCACGACGTTTTTGGATAAAAATATATAATGTCTTGGAAGAATTAGGGTTTGCCCGTTTTTTTTTGTTTTGTCTGTTTGGTCCAACGGAGAATAATATACAGTTGAGAGTTTTGGTAAAAATGGGGGAGCGTCAATTCCATGAGACAGAATTCACTAAAACTCTCTACACCTCTTTGGTGTAACAGGACTTAATTCTCTTTCAAGAAATTCCCACCTTGTTATACCTGAACCGGATAAACCTCTATATTCGCCTCAGCTAAAGGCTCTTAGATGTTTCCTGTGTACGATAAGTATCTTGATTTATTTTGCGAGGAAAGATCTGTACTTTTACAGGATGCCTGTCATTCTTAATACGTTCAATTTCGTATAATACTGTGCAACATCTCTGATGTGAAACAGTTGCTTCGGGCGCCGCCGCACGGCGGGCGGGTGGTCATTGCGACACGCGCATTGGCGCCTACAAACCTAAGTGGATACTTCAAGCATTGTGCAATGCGTGAAGTATCCACTTAGGTTTGTAGGCGCCAATGAGCCTCTCGCGCTGGCAGCACGTCGCGCCGCTCCGCTCTGTTAGGCTTTAAAATTTATACTCGCATAGTCAGCGTTTTTTAACTCATGATTTCGAAATGCTAGCACACTCTGCATTGATTATTCTCATTTAAATTGATGGTAAAAAATATGTATCAATTTATCAAGGGAGGATAATAATATAATGTTTGTTTTTTAAATATTGGTGGTTCCGTGTCAAATTTAATGATTTCCAAAGCGCTTTAATTTTTTCTTTTACATTTTGTGCTTTTATTGTGCTGCAGCGAGGTGTACGCGCAAAGAAACGCTCAAAATTTGACATATTTGACTCTAAAAGACCGATGTACAAATGGGTTAAAACTAAAGATTGCGTGCTTCTTGGTTTTTTTTCCTCTTTTTTTCATCTTTGCAGTTTCTGTCGGCACAACTGCGGCTCATTGAGATTAATGTCGCTTGGGAAAGGTTTTACAAATATTTGTCACGTTTTAAAAATATAAATGTTTTCAAATGAAGTAATAATTTCGTAAAGTAAAAATAAAAAAAATAAAAAAAAGTACCTATACATACATAAGGTATATTGTACATTCTATCTTAAGGATAGAAATAAAACCAAATATTCACCAATGACAATTTAAAAAGATGATTTAAAAGGAGAAAGTAATAACATTTCATTTAGAAAATGAGCAACCATAACAACACCTCCTTCTCTCTCAATTTCTGATTTCCATATTGTCAATATAATTTTACTTACTGACTAAAATATAACGCTTGGACCAAGTCACTGTTGCTTATTTTACGTGTGGGCGTAAACTACTGGACAAAAAAGGTGCGCGGACAAAAAATCGTTGACAAAATGTCCT